AGCGCTTATGCCAGCAAAACTTATGTTGCTCAGGGGATGCTAGCATAGGCATGGCCTTAGTCCCTGCTGTTATCCCTGGCAAGAGAAACAATGTGTTTTCAGCAGCCACCTAAACACATTCCATATTACCTGATGCTAAACAGGAGGGTTGGAGTGGCTGGTTTCCTTCGTGAGATTTCACAAATATTGAGCAGTTTGGTGTTAAGGCATAACTCATTTCAGTCCCACTTTAAGAAGAAGACGCTCCAGCTTTTAGCAATAGGTTCTCTTTAATAGTATGCTAGTATAGACTGCAGCATGTGAAGTACTCCGTCTCCTTCCTCTGCTTGCAGAGCTTCCAACCATATTAAGACTATGCACAGCTGAGGAAAGACACCTTGTAACTAGAAACTAGAGAGCCCTTCCTCCCCCACACCATCCCTGGTGGATAGTGTCTCTGCTCTAATGTTATGCATATTTTCAGTAGGCAGGAGTCTACTGGAGCTGCTCACAATGTGTAACTCTTGACCAGAATCATCCTCTACAACAAACCACTCAATCCACAGTATTCTTGCTACCAAGTTAAAAAAAAGTATGGATTGGATGAATGGAGTATAAGGTGGATAGAAAGCTGGCTAGATTGTTGGGCTCAATAGGTAGTGATCAACAGCTTGATGGCTAGTTGGCAGCTGGTAGCAAGTGGAGTGCCCCAGAGGCCTGTTTTGTTCAACATTTTTATTAATGGTGATCTGGACAATGGAATAGATTGCACCCTCAGCAAGTCTGCAGATGCCACTAAATTGGGAGGGGTGATAGATATGCTAGAGGGTAAATATAGGGTCCAGAGTGACTTAGACAAATTGGAGGATTGGGCCAAAAGAAATCTGATGAGGTTCAACAAAGACAAGTGCAGAGTCCTGCACATAGGATGGAAGAATTCCATGCACTGCTACATCTAAGCAGCAGTTCTGCAGAAAAGGACCTGGGGATTACAGTGGACGAGAAGCTGGATAGGAGGCAGCAGTGTGCCCTTGTTGCCAAAAGGCTAATGGCATACTGGGCTGCATTACTAGGAGCATTGCCAGTAGATAGAGGGAAGTGATTATTCCCCTCTATTCAGTACTGGTGAGGCCACATCTGGAGTACTGCATCCAGTTTTGCCCCCCCCTACAGAAAGGACGTAGACAAATTGGAGAGAGTCCAGCAGAGGGCAACAGAAATGATCAGGGGGCATGGGTACATGACTTACACGGAGAGGCTGAGAGAACTGGGCTTGTTTAGTCTACAGAAGAGAAGAGTGAGGGGGGGGATTTGATAGCAGCCTTCAACTACCTGAAGGGGGGGGGGGGTTCCAAAGAGGATGGAACTAGGCTGTTCTCAGTGGTGGCAGATGACAGCATAAGGAATAATGGCCTCAAGTTGCAATGGCGGAGGTCCAGGTTGGATATTAGGAAACACTTTCACTAGGAGGGTGGTGAAGCACTGGAATGGATTACCTAGGGAGGTGGTGGAATCTCCATCCTTAGACGTTTTTAAGGTCCGGCTTGACAAAGCCCTGGCTGGGATGATTTAGTTGGAGTTGGTCCTGCTTTGAGCAGGGGGTTGGACTAGATGACCTCCTGAGGTCTCTTCCAACCCTCATCTATGATCCCTCCCAGGAGGCTGGTAACTTGCCTGCCAAAGGCTGACTGCTAGGAGACCCTCAACCCTTCACTACAGGGATACCATGGAGCTAGCCCCATGAGGTAAGTGGCCACATCCACTCCTCCTGTCTTCCTGAAGAGAAGTCTGCTGTGAGGTCTTCATTATATTTTTAGCTGAACATTCAACTCTGCCAAGGCTATAAATAGCTGGTGCAGAGTGGGTTGGAGAGGGGGAGGTGTAGAGAGGATGGCAGCACTAGTCCATTTTCCTGCATCTGTACACCCTGTACCAGATAGCAAATAGCTCACTAAGTTGGCCCCCACTATAAAGTCCAGGTGTCAAGTTGGGCTCCCTGGCTTTAGCTGTACACCCTGTCCCTTTTCTCCTCCAGCCAGGTGATTGGTGAAGCAGCCCAGCAGTGCCTATGAACACCCAGCTGGCAAGTGTGTTAGGTGGAGGTCACCTCTGTTTCCAATTTCCCCCCACAACTAGGTAGGGACACTTCTGAGTTTTTTTTAGCAAGTTCTCCATTAGCAGTAGGTTCTGCCAGGCCAGCCTCCTGCAGTCCCCATCTGGGTCCTTCTCTGCTACATCTGCAAAAGAGGACAGTGCTATTATTTGAGAGTAGGAGGAAAACAAGGATGCTCTTTACAGTCCTTTCCTGAACTGCTGAAATCCAATAACAGTGAAAGGAAACTAACCCACTTCTCATACTGCCCAGAGGATACTCAACTTATCTCCAGCGAGATATCTACACTCAGATTGCTTAGACCAAACATTGGTTTTAGCCTATGGTGCATGCTCACTCACCCAGGTGCACACTAACACTTAGAATGTTAATTTCAAAGTGAGTGGCATGGGGGCAGGTAATGTAGGTGGTGTAGGAACCTGACATCAGGGAAAGAAGGGCCAGGTTTTAAGGCAGCTTCTAACTGTGTACAAACAGACTATGTGCACACAAGAATCACCAACAGATCACATAACCATGTGCACAAATGGGTGTAGTGGAGAATAAGAATAGCCCCTAAGTATCACTAGCAGTCAGCTGATGGAAGTGTAAGACAGGCCCAAGCCATCATGGTGCCTTCACACAGACCTGGCGCTGTGAGCAGCATGTAAATTAAAGCATTTGCAGAACATCCATGAAACTTATTTCAAAGGCCCATAATGGGCTCAAAGTAAAAACTCAGGATGCACTCAGGATGTCAGAGCAGGAGGGAGTCTGGAAGAGCAGAGAGTCTGTGTGAGGATATCCTGTACGCACAAGCAGTGTGCTCAGAGCCCAGCACTGTGTCAGCCTAAGCACATGACTCACACGGATGGAGTAGGGTTATTTATAAACTCAGGGAGAGCTCCAGGCTGGTGTTTCCATACTCAAGGTGGGGGAAGCAGCCATATGAGAGTGTACAGCCCCAGTTTCTTAGCCTGTGATATGCAACTGGAGAGGATGGCAGAGCATGGAGCTTGAGCTAACTATGCTGCAAGGGTGGGGTAGGGAGAAAAGAAGGGGAATGACCCTGCACCTCAGTGAAGTCCTGACATGAGAAGACACACACACCCTGCAAACTGCTCCAGGCCTCATGTGGGGTAAAGGGGATTCCCTCCAAGGACCTCTGCAGCTGAGCCAAAGAAAAGACATAATCCCTTCAAGTTGATGGAGTAACTGAATTTTAAGGGCAGGACCTAGCATAACCTACCCAAGGGGATGAGGCAGAATAAGGAAAGTGACAAATTAAATGCTGCTTAGAACTCTCGTCCTCAAAATGCTCTGCAGCTGAAGCTTATCAGAAGTGACCAATGCAAGAATGATGTGCCTTCTCCAACTCGGGGCAGCTTCTCCCATTCAGGGATGGCCATCAAGTCAGCATTTGCCAACCGGTCCTCCGCAGCAGTGGGAGAGAGAGACAGCTCAGTTGTTTCCCGTTCCAAGTGCAGAGGAATTCTGTAGTACCTGATGGAAACCACTGACTTTCTAATGGCATCCAGAGCACTGCATGTGACAGACTGGTTCTATCTGGGATGGAATTAGAAAGTAAAGTTCTTAGGGCAGGAACCGAGGCTTGTGTGTATGAGGGGGCTGTGCAGGTTTGTGCTGCAATTATTATGCTCTTATCACCATGCTACCTGAACTCAACTGTGCTCACTACGTCTGTACAAGCATCACCACTGATACAGTGTATCTTCCTAGCACCAGAAGAGGCATCCACAAGACTAGTTTCAGACACAAAGGAGGTGCTGCTATCCCAGTCCTGCCCCTCTCCCTGCCAAGTACAGCTACAACTATCAGCTAGTTAAAGACAGATAGACCACAATGTTCCTTGTACTGAATTCCTCAGACATTTACAACATTCCTGGAAAGACTCCCCTTGCCCTCAGGAACGTTACAGCAGAGGGAGGCAGATCCCTCAGCGCACACCACGTCATGGGAAATGTGGAGTTTCTGGCCCCCGTGGCTGCTCTTTCCCTTTAAGGGCACAGAGCTATATAACCTGCAGGGATCAGAGACCGGCTGTGTCGGTGTCACTGCCGGCCCAGCCCCCATAGGAAGCCAGTTTTCTAAAATGTCAGGATGGGTGAAGGAAACCAACAGAGGGCAGAAGAATAGTAAAGGGACCAATTAGCACACAGAAGTGTATCCAAACCTAGCCAGAGGCTGAGAGCATACAGTGCCATTTCCTCTTGCAAGTTTCCAGCATGTCACCTCAAAGGCAGTGCTGTGTGATACGTGCTGCCATGTGCTGCAGGCCACACTCCTGCAGTGCAAGCTGGCTGAGTCAATCACTCTGTTTTGTAGACCAGATGTTCATTCCCTCAGCACTAGGAAATTTGGAAGAAAGGACCATGCCCTCCTGCTCTCATCCTTTGCCACCATGAAAACTGGTATGAGGATGCTCCCCATTCTCCATGCACCCAGTGCACCTGGGTTGTGTAAATTCTGCCAGCTCAGGAACACACTGGTTGCTTATCAGAAGTTCAAGGTCTGCAAGTAATTTAAAACATGAAGGTCCAGCCTACAAGTCCATGGAATATGAGGGGACACAGTGCTTGGCGTAAGTGCACTGCATTCTGGGACCTGTAGTCTCCATAGGCCGTATTTCCCTACGGAAGGTGAGGGTGACTATGTTAGAATGCTATAGGCCATATTTGGCCCAAGGCGTGCACCTTGGATGCCTCTGCAGCACACCCTCCCTTGCAGCAAGGACTGTACTGGATTGATAATTTGGCCCCTTCCTAACACGAATGATACATGCACTTCAACATGAGGCTCTATTCAGCAGCCCAAAGAAAGTAGCAAAACATCCCTTATGCCTTCTGGTCCTACAGACACTACACCCTGTTACTACCACCACCACCATCCCGCCCCCCCCCCCCCTCACCTTCCAGCCAGGACTGGGTCTCCAAGAACTCATCTGTCATGTCCTCCAACAGCCGCTCACTGGGGATACTGAGGAGGACGGAGGAGACTGCAGACAGGAGGCCCTGACGCACATACCTGATGGAGAAGCAATGACCCAGTGAGAGGCTGCAGCTTCTCTCTTCCGTTCACCGACACACCATATTAGCTGCTCTTCTCTACACAGTGTTTTACTGCAGTGCCCTCAAGTTTCTCACAGATGGCTACTGCCAGCACAACCAGACTCCTAGTGAGCAGGGATTTAATCAGAACTGGCAGGCCTGGTCCCCTTGCTCAGCTCTATGCTGCCACCCAGCAGATCTGGGGCCAGTCTCTTGCTCCCTGGACCAGAAGAGGCTGGGAGCCTGCGGAAGCCTGGGCTGGGGGTGAGCAGAAAGGCTAAGATCTGCTCAATACCCTTCCAGCTGTGATGGTTTAAAATCACAACCATTCAGTTACTCTGAGCTCCTACAGAAAAAATATCTTGCATGGTGAAGCCACCTCAGGGATAACTCAAAAATGGGTCCAAAAGACTTCTGCCATGCTTCCTACATGCACTGACTGCACCTCTGGACAGAGAAGACATTCGAGAGGTTTCAAATCAAAAGGTGAGTGAGGTGCCAGGACACAGGAGTTGGCAATGAAAGCTCCACCTTAGCCAAAACTATCGTGGCTGCTGATACTAGGGTTAAAGGAGTGTTTAGTGCTGATGGGGCTCCCAAGGACAGCCCCATCTCCTGCCTACATCAATCTCTTCTGCCTGCATGCGGCACTGCAGGCTTTGCTCTCATATGGAGCAGGGTGGGGAAGGGGGCAGAGGTGAGCAAAGAGAATGGTGCATTAAATCATCCACATAGGCATCAGGCAATACTCTCTCTGTCTGAGATTGAAAAGTCCCAGTAAGAGCACCTGGCCCTCGAGCTGATCATCTTCCCATCACCAAAATAACCATAGAAACACACAACTCACGAGTCTGTGTGGAAGCGCAGGGTCCAGACGAACTCCAGCAGTGACTTTCCCATGGTAGCAGCTGCCTGCATTGAGGGGAACACAGTGAATAGGCAGCTTCTCACACACTGACCCACAAGGGATATTGATTTGTCCACGTCCAGGACCACATACAATGGGAAAAAGTCACCCAGATGGGTCTCTGGGGAACTCAATGCCTCTTATAGCAGTCAGCACATACTGGGGGGTTTTCCTCCATTCAGGCCCCTCTTGGGAAGCAGGAAGGTAACTCTTAACTCCATTTTGCAGATGGGGAAACAGGCAGTAAAGATACATGCCCAAGTACACGCAGGGAGCAGAATGCAGGATTCCTAGCTCCCAGCCCTGTTCTCTGGCCCATCCCCCAGCATCTGCTAGCTGCTCACTGGTACGGTATCCCCCTACACAAAGAGGTCATTCCCCAATGAGTGCAGCAGGCACCATGCTCCAATGCCACTTCAGAGGCCATCTCGGGGCTCACCCCCACTGCAGTCAGCAAGTGCTGCTTTATGGGCCTCAACTTCCTTACCACAGTGTGGATGGCAAAGTACATCAAGATTGCCAGAGTGTGCGCCAGCCTTCCCAGCACAAGGTGATCGTCTCCCAAAAGGTCAAAGGTCACCAGAGGCCTGCAATGCAAGAGACACGGTTCCTTTGGGTTGGCAAGTTTTCTTATTGCCTTTTCAAACCTGCCAGAATGTGACTTGGAAGGTCAACAGGAAACACTGTGTCCAGCAGGTCACTGGCAATCTCAGTCCTGGAGACAGTGGCTACCAAAGTAAAATGGAGAATGCCTCCTACCATATCTACAGGCTCCCATGTGCCCCCCAAAGTGTGCGGAGAACAACACTGCTCACCATCTGGCCAGGGGAACTTTTGACTTGGCTTGCTGGTGAAGTCTGGCTGAACTAGGAAGAAATACATGCAAATGCCAGGTCCCGTTTTCTTGTTGTAAACAATCAGAACTGAGACAGTATTAATGCTGTCTGTAACATGCCTTCCTCAGGCAGGTTAGGACTTTGCCCAGGCCCTTAATTACCTTAGAGCATCCTTACCCGACTAACATTAAATTGCTGCCTAGATTTGGTCAACTATGAATCCAAGCACCTGGCAAGGTGAAGGAAGCAACACTGTGGCCATGGGAGCTATCCAGGGCCACAGACTGCAGCGCCTTACAGTTGAGATGTAATAGCTTGTAGGAATGTTGCCTGATAACCATGCATAGCACCAAAACTTCAGTCATGTCCTTCCACTACTGAATGAACTGTCTGGACTGTTAGTGTCAGAGCCCCCTTGTGGCCATTCAAAGGAACAACTGCTTAGCATCCTCCAAAAGCAAAGCATCACTCTCCATGCTCCACCTCTTTTCCAGACACAGAGCCCTGTCCATCAGAGTCCTGGAGTAGGCTAGAGCCATCCAAATGCTTCTCCGGCATCCCCCATACCTCCTGCCTACACAGTCCTGCTGACAGCTTATTTTTATTACTATAGTTTCAATCAGTGAAGTGTATTTAAGGAGGATCTCAAAATACTTAACAGATGTTCATTCTTCCTCATCACCCCCCAAGTAAATTAGATCAGAGTTTTCCAGAGGACTGGAGAAGGGCAAACATAGTGCCTGTCTTTAAAAAGGGGGGGCGGGAGGGAGAGGATCTCAGAGACTTATGGACTGGTCAGCCTAACTTCAATACCTGTAAAGATACTGGAACAAAGTTTTAAATTCTCAATTTATAAGCACCTAGAGGAGAGGGGTTATAAGTAATAATTAATATGGATTTGCCAGAACAAATCATGCCAAACCAACCTACCTTTCTTTTGTCAGAGTTCCTGGCCTAGTTGTTGGGGGGCAAGCTGCAGACATGATACATCTTGATTTTAGGAAGGCTTTGTCCCACATGATATTTTCATAAGCAAATTAGGGAAACGTCGTTTACATGAACTTACTATAATGGGGGTGCATTACTTTTAGTACAGCCTTTCAAAAGTTGTTATCAATTGTTTGCTGCCAAACTGGGAGGGTGTATCTAGTGTGGTGCTGCAGGAGTCTTTCCTGGGCCCGGTACTATTTAATATTTTTGTTATTGACTTGGATATTGGAGTGGAGTATACGATTATAAAATATGCAAATGACACCAAGTTGGGAGGGATTGCTAGCCATTTTCATTGATACTCCCGGAGCTTCCTTACTGCTAGAGATGGGCTGACTAGTACCGAACACAGTCTAGTGCTTCTGTTCTCTGATCAATTATAGACAATGAACATGACAATCTGAAGAGGGTTTTTTTTTTTTTGAAAGGATCAGCCCTGTGATGCTGGGAGCTCCATATTCCCCAGGGATACATGGGGCTTCAGTATTACCCACAGATAGAAACCAGGAAAACAGGAGATTCTGCTGAAATTCAGCCTCCTGAATTGTGGGTTCGTTTCCTAGCCCCAGTAAAACTAAGACATGGCTTGGTTGTGCTCAGTACACTGCAGAGCAACTGAAAGAACCCCGGCAAAGTGATTTCCTATTTTAATCATTGCTCACTGCTCAAATCTATAATCGAAGTAGGATTCTCTACCATTTTCTCTCCCCACCAGTGCACACATACATTTGCCTTTGCATAGCCACTGAGTATAACAGGCCCTGTTTAAGGGCACTGACACATTTGTTGGAGGAAAATAATCAGATGGACTTTGAAAACTGTTCCAGCAGAACTTCTTCAGGGACTGATCCATGGTCTACTGAAGTCAGTAGAAATCTTTCCACTGAATTCAATGGGCTGAGGATAAGGCCCTGAAAACCACTGCACATTACTGACTAGTGAATTAGTCAATAGGAAACTATGAGCAAAGCAGGGGTATTATAGTCAAGTAAGCTTTGTCCAGTTACTCTGACAACTAGTATTATTTATGATATTTCTGAATGTACTGTAGTTTAAAAAAAAATAAGGAAGGAAGCTGCCTTGATATGAACCATTACAGCAGAGCCGTCCTGCTATAATAAATCTCTAAGAGGGAAAAACCCACCAGTGCGTGTGCAGACTAGCAAGCATCTAGCCTCCATTTTATCATCCTCCAATAAGCAGACCAGGAATAGCTCAAGATCCAATTTCACTGACTCCAAACATGGGATAACAAGACCTGTAATTCATGCAAGGTCTGGTCTGCTCTAATCCAGCTCCAGAAGGGTTGGCTAACAGCACTAACACCACACTTAGGCTTGCAAAGAAGGCTATTTCCATTAGCCCTGCTTGTTAGCTTTGCAGCAAGAAAATGTATGCTGTTTGCTCAACTAGGCATACGTTTCCAAGAGTGACCAGTAGTTTAGGTGCCTCCATTTCAGGATGCCCAACTTGACATACCTTAGAGCATCCTGGTTTTCAGAGGGCAGGTTCTCAGCACTTTCTGAAAATGAGGCCCCTTTAAGTTGTCTCAATTGGGCTCCCAAATCCCTAGTTAATTCTGAAAACACAAGCCCTCGTCCCAATTCACTGCTGTATTATGGTCACTTTGGGAAGATACATAGCCTAGGAATTTGAGTTGTGGACTGGTATGTGGCTCTCCAGAAGTTCTATTCCTGACTCAGGCACCAACTCCCTGGGGGGCCTTGAGAAAGTCACCTCACCTCTCTGTGTCTCAGTTCATTCACTGATTACATTAACAGAGCAAGGTCAAGGTCCACCCTCGCAGGCATGTGTTGCCATAGTCCCTTGGTAAGTCAGGACCCCAAGGCACTTGCCATCTCACCTGTCAAAGTTCTGAATCAGGGGGAAGAAGAAATGTCCAGCTAAAGAACTGAATTTGTTTGGGCCACAAGCCGGTTCCACTAGAGACTGACCCTGTCCAAAAGAGAAAAGAGGTTTAGAGAGGAAACAGTCAGCTGCAGTAAGTGCCTCTGAAGGGGTTACACGACCTCACTCCTCAGTGCTATCAGACCTAGCTGCTGCAGAGAGGGGAAAGCACCGTAGTAGCATTTTTTTTTTAGCACTGAAGTGTCTTTTGTACCTTGCAGTGTCCTGACCGACCACTGCTGCTCTCCTACACTCCTGACATTGCCCCTGACTGGCATTTCCCAGCTGGACCTACACTGGTTCAACACTGCATGCTTGAGTCAAATTCCCCAGAGTTGGCTTCCCCATTTCCAATTCCTCCTCATCCCCATCTCTGAGGAGTTCTACACAGTCTGGGTCCAGCCCTGTGGTATGGGAGGGGGAAAACTTGAGGGGAAGCAAAGCAACATGCACAAGATAAGCCTCAATTCTGAGCCTCACTTCCCAGCACAGGAGGTAAAGGAGCTCTGGGAGTTAATCAACGACTTCTATCAATGCAAGACAGAGGGAAGCTCTGGGGGTTAGAGATACAAAATGGAGGTGGTTGGCTCCCAGGATGGGACTGGAGGAAGGGGCTCAGAAATGAGTGGTGGAGCTACAGCCCCGTCATGGGGGTAGGCAGAGGGCAGCTCTGTGGACTGGAAGCACTGAGTGGAGACTGGGAGCTCCCAATGTGAGGCAGGGAGTTCAAGATATAGAGACAGTCCCCTCCCAACATGGGGCAGGAGTGGGGATGCAAGTGCTTCAAGGAGTTGGATGCAGTCCCCTGCCAAGGAGACGCAGAAGACTGTGGAATTCTTTTTTTAAAACCAAGTTACCCAGCCCTTTCATGATGCTGCATTGGTCCCTGGCCTAGATAGGATTCTGGCAATTCTCAGAGTTAGCCCTACTGCAGCTCTCTCTGCTTTGTGGTATGAGGTGCTCCTGTATTTCCCTTGTTGAGCAACCTAGCCTCACCTTCGCCAAACGGTGTGTCTTGCTTTTGATCCTCTCATCCACAATCCTTCTCCAGTTCTGGGAGCTGTCACTGCCAGAGACGGTCTGGATGCAGGGACTCTGGGTGCTGCAGGGCTTATTTTTCCCAGAGGCCTGGGGCTGAGAGAGTTCCTGAGCAGCCAAAGCTAGGACCTAGATAAATGGAAAGAGGTTCCATTAGAAGACAACAATTCCTTCTCCCTAACAAAGAGACTAAGAGCAACAGTCACCTGCACTGAGCTTGTGGGAGTAGGGCAGGAATGAGGAGGGGGCGGGCACAAAAGAGCTCAAGTGAGGGTGGAAGGACTGACCCCACAAGTTTGAGGCAACCGAGTGCCTCTGAGATGCTGCAGAGGGTATTCTGCGGAGGAGCTTACCTGTCCAGCCTGAAAAGCAGACAGCAGCTCCTTCTCTAGGTACAGTAAGTGAAGTGGGGTTGCAGCATGGGGAGGGTGCCTGGTTAAGAGGTTAATCAGGCAATAGACTGAAAAAGCACCAGGAAATTTTAGTAGACTCCCTAAAAACCACTGTCTGCTTCCAGACAAGTGGTCACCATCCTGGCCTATGCGTTGCTATCTCTTTCCTCCCTGGTTCCCATCACAACTGTACAGTGCATTAACCTTTGAGGGCAGGAAATGAAGGGCAGTAACTGATGTTAACGTAACAGCTTCCCCCAGGCTGCTCCTGCTTTGCCCCATTGTCCTTTTTAATCAGGAGTCTAGGGATTACCCCAGCTCCTCTCTTAGAGACAGGTCTGATGCAACAGGGGGACTCATGGATGGGAAGGTAAAAGGAAGGGGAGGAGCTAGAGAACAAAGAGGAAGGAAGAGGTGAGTCACTTACATCCAGAATGTCCATGCGCTGATAGAGACTGTAGTTCAGGGAATAGAACTGGGAGGTCAGATACTGCACCACCTGCACCAAGCCAGGGAATAACGAGCATGAACCAATAACTGGGGAAGAAGCCTGCTTCCCCCCCCCCCCAACTCCTCCCCGAGGGCTGGAGTTCTAAAGAGGAGAAATCCTAACTCCTGTTAGTAATAAACCAGGAAAATCCACAAATGGGGGGAGAACCACCATCCGAGCAGGGGAAATTCAGGGACTTGCACTGCCACATCCTCCCAAGAGGGAGCCAATACCTACCAACATGATTCTGCCATTCTATAGCACCTTCCACCCAGGGTCTCCAAGTGCTCTGCAATCAGTAACTAATCCAACCTTAGCACGTCTCAGAAGCAAAGAAGTCTCCTTTCACAGATGCGGAAACTGAGGCACAATGAGGCTATGGGACTTGCCCAAGGCTAGCTAATTTGCCCTGAGACACACTCACATTTCTCCATCACCTCTGGACACTTCCTATCCAATCATTTCAATTGTCTAAATCTCTAGCCCAGAGTTTCCCTCTCAGCCACTAACCCTCTAACACCTTGGCTCCAATCATCCCAATGCAGATACTCGTTCCAGTTCATGGCCCAGCTAGTGAGGAGGCAGGACAGCTCTTCACACAAACTCAGCCTGCTCCCTAAAGGGTCATCCAGCCTGCCATCATGGAAACTGCTTCTGCCATGCCAGCAAGAGACACCAGCTGCAATTGCTCAAATCCTTAAGCCTGTGCCTATTACGAGGAAGGAGAAGCACAGAGACTTACTGGTACTGGATCTATGATGGTGACAGCCACTAGGGCTCTCTTACGGAGCTCCACAAAGCCTTCTATGTAGGTCTTTTCCTCCAGGTGCAGCAGTACTTTAGCCAGCTCCATGCTCACCTGCACAAAATACAAAAGCAGAGAGGCCACCTGCTGGGCAGCAAGCTCTTCCCTCTCCTGAGGGTTTACAAAGGAAGATGCAGAAACAAACTTCATCTTGGCTGCCTCTGAGAGGACTGGACATGAAGAGGCAGGGCCTGACTATCAGACACAGCAGAGGACATGACAAGCCAGGGTGCCACTGAGATAGGACTGCTCAAAGCAGTGACTAACCACTTGGTTGACATCCATGCCCCTTTTAAACATGGCTTTTGGAAGAACCTTAGTGGCAAGGAATGGAGAAGACACCTCAGTAAAACCTACAGTGCATGTGTGCAGTAAGTGATCCCTCTAGTGGCCAGCAGGGGCGGCGACTTATATTCTCTTGTGGTGCCCGGGCTCCAGCAATATTCAGGGGTGGGGGCCCGGCTCCACCAATGTTTGGAGTTGAGTCTCTCTCCTGGCCCCTGCCTGCCCCCCACCCCCGGAGCGCCCCTGCCTGAGTGAAAGCCGCACAGCTCTCCCTGGCCTCCACTGCCAGCAGCTACAGGCCAGCAGCAGGCTGAGGCAGCTGCTGCTGCTACTGTACCTCAGGAGGGGGAGGAGGAGGAGGCGGCGGCACACACGTGCTTGGCAGCCCTCCCCTCCCCAGACACCAGACGCCGAGGGGGCTTCCGGCAGGAGACATCTGGAGTGGACCTCCATGACTCACCTGAGCAGCTGCTGGGGCTTCGGTGAGTGTTTGACCCTGTGATCCACCCCCCTCTCCCCTGCAGCCACCACTCCTGCAAACACTGGGCAAGGGGCAACCCCACCCAGGGCCAGTGCAAGGAAGTTTCACGCCCTAGGCGAAACTTCCACCTTTCGCCACCCCTCCCCCTCCCCCAGCTAACCCCGCCTAGGGAGACTCCCCCCGTGGCAGCTAACCCCGCCCCAGCTCACCTCGGCTCCACCTCCTCCACTGAGCACGCCGGCACCGCTCTAATTCTCCTCCCCTCGCAGGCTTGCGGCGCAGATTGGAGGAGACTTAGAGCAGGGGCTGTGTGCTCAGCGGAGGAGGCAGAGTGGAGGTGATCTGGGGCGGGGAAGTGATCCCCTGTGCGCGCCCTCCCACCCCCCCATTACTGCGGGCGGCCCTCCCCATGCACCCCCGCCCCAGCTCACCTCCACTCCACCTCCTCGCCCGAGCAGGCTTTTAGGCGCCCCCAACCACTAGGCGCCCGCCTAGTTTGCCTAAATGGTTGCACCGGCCCTGCCCCCATCCCCAGTGAGGCTATGGCGAGGGGCAGCAGGGGAGGAAGGAAGCCACATGTGATGGCAGTTCCCTCCCCCCCCAGCACCTACCACCCCCTCCCAGGCCCCCAAACTCCCTCCCAGAATCTGCACCCCCAGCCTACACCCAAACTCTGTCCCAGAGCCTGCACCCCTCACTCCCTCCTACACCCCCAGCCCCTGCCCAGAGCCTGCACCCAGCACCCAAACTCTGTCCCAAAGCCTGCAGCCCTCACCCCCCACCTACACCCCCAGGCCCTGCCCCAGCCCAGAGCCTGCAGCCAGCCTCCCTCCCAGAGCTCCACCCCTTTCCCTAGCCCAGAGCCTACAACTAAACACCCTCCCAGAGCCTGCACCCCCACCCTGTGCCCCAGCCCGGAGCCTGCACCCAGCACCCAAACTCCATCCCAGAGCCTGCACCTCAGACCCCAACCTCTCAACTGTCTTACACCCCAATTCCCTGCCCCAACCCAGGGCCTGCACCCAAGACCTCCTCCCCCAACCCAAACTCCATCCCAGAGCCTTAGGCAGGTGGGGGGCAGAGTTGGGGGGGGGGGGAAGGCTCTGAGCGTTCTGGACACCACCAAAATTTCTACAAACCTGCCGCCCTTGGTGGCCAGCCCACACAACAGAATAAGAACTTACAACTGCTACCAGTTACATCTCTTGTTCAGTTGGTAGAGGCCCATGCTTTTGGCACTGAAAAGATCCAAGTTCAGTCCCTGCAGATGACCCATGGTGAAGAGCCATTGCATCAGCAACCCCTAGTCCCAATTTCTCTCTGCCCACCCAAGCTCTGCATCTTGACTAGTCTGCCCCAAACATCTCTTGATGAGGAGCCAGAAAGAGTGGAACACAATGGGTCTGATGAAAGCATAAAGACATTTTGTTGTCTTCTGATTTGCATTGCTGCACCTGCTTAGGCTTCAAAACTGCTCCACAGGCAGCTCTGCTCGCCCTGGACAAAGTGTGCCACTTCCAATATCCTCCTCAACCCCGAAGCTCACTGGAAGGCTCTACCTGTTTCCTGGTCTCCATTCCCACTGCAAAAGGATTCCAAAAAAAGACAAGAAGAGCCAGCTGCCATCACCATGGTCTGTCCCAACTCCAGGGCAAGTCAGCCTGGTCTGTCGCTCTTTATGTGTTACCGTCTTGCACTGTGTTATGCCTAGCTTCCTTCTGAGGCCAAGATGGCAACCCTCTGACTAAAGCCCATTGGAACAGCTCATGAGGCCTTACCTCTCTTGTAGTAGCTGAATTCCTTCGAATCAGACTCTCCAAAACCTTCATTGTAGCTTCCCACTTGTCCATGTCTTCAGATCCAGTTAGGACTAAAGATAAACAAAAACCAACCACTTCAGTTCTGCTGACCAGCTGAGACAATGTTTCTACTAGCAAGAATCCCAGAGATATCCCCTCCCTTCCTGCTCTTCAAGAGAAAGTTGCAACCAAGGCCAGATGTAGAAATTCAGCATCTAGTGTAAGAACCTGGATAGACAGGGAGATAGTTTGTATGGCCCCGAGTCTCCCCTGCTCTAACTAGTCTCTTCCATCAGGAAGAAAACACCAACTCAGCAGAAAGATCAGACACTAGAAACTAAGCTGAGGTTACTTACGCCTGGTCTACACTACAATGTTAGGTCGACATAAGCTGCCTTGTGTAAGCTTAGTTGTACATGTGTCTATGCTTAAATTTGTCTCCCACCGACGTAAGCTCTCCATTAGGCCGACATAGTGACTCCACCTCTTCAAGTGGCATTGAGCCATGGTCAGTGTACTGAGGTCAACAGTGTGAATGTAGACATCTATGATGACCCTAACAGTCCTCCAGCAGTTGTCCCAGAATGTTCAACACTGACCACTCCAGTCACACTTCGTGACCTCTAGGGCAGTGGAGTTCACGGAGTCCAGAAGTCCCATCACCCTTTAAATTCCCTGCAAACTTTTGAAATGCCTTTTCCTGACTGTCCATCTTGGTGAGCACACCTAGCAGATCTCCACTGTTGTATGCAACTGCCCAGCTGACTACGCTGGTTGGATGTTCCAGATCCACTCCAGGCCATAGTGCATCTCCTGGGCCTGTGGGGAGAAGAGGCTATGCAAATCACAGCTATAGACCAGCCAGAGAAACATGGACAGCTATGAACACATTGTGCGGGGGATGCAGGAGAAGGGGGATGCCAGGGATCAGCGGCAGCACTGCATGAAAGTGAAGGAACTGCAGCAGGCATATCAGAAACCTTGGGAGCCCAACAGTCAATCTGGTACTGAGCCGCAGACATGACGCTTTTACAAAGAGCTGCATGATATACTTGGCGAAGACCCCACTACCATCCCGCACAGCACCGGGGATACCTCTGAGGAGCCTAAGTCACAGGCCACTGCATGAAAGGAGGCGGAGGAGGAGGAGGATCATAGCATCATAGGACTGGAAGGGACCTTGAGAGGAAGGGGACATGCAACTGGGGTGGTCCAGCTATGCTCAGAGCCAGGATCTGTTTGAGATTCCACTGCAATCCAGTCAGTCCCAGCAGTCAAGCATACGCAAGCCCGATGCAGGGAAAGGAACCTCAAGTGAATGTGTAAATTAATTTCCCATTTCAATGATGGCACCCGCAACTTAGCAGGATCACAGCTGTGACATTCCCCAGGGTGCAACCTGAACTGTTGTGTCCTCTAGCCTGGGATGCCTTTTAGATTGCTTTGCTAATAAACAGCAAACCCCTACAGGCTCTGTTCACTCCCAGCCACCAGCATGCAAAGTCACTCCCAGCTGAATACATAAATGATATGCCCTGCCATCCATGAACAGATACAGGGAAACACCCACATATCCCTCAGTCCCAGCCTTGCCCCCCAGAAATGTACTGTTCACTAGCCCACTGAAGGGTACAAGCTCATAAATTAGTCCAGCATTCCAACAAAGGGTAATGAACATGCACTAGCCCTGCTGACCCGAGCTGAGATTTCCCAAACACTTCAATCAAACACACTGGTTTAGATAAAAAAGTAAAACAAGTTCATTAACTTGAGAAAGATCAAATACGTGATTTACAAGTGATAAGGCATAAAAGTCAGAATTGGTTACAAAAAAAAATATGATAAGCATGTAAGCTAATTCCTAAGCTTTACCAAGGCTAGTAAGTTTAAAAACAAAAAGGTTTCTCTCACCCAAAAGTTTACAACGGTCTATACTGGCTGGAAGAACTCCAGGCCAATACCACTCTCCCCAGTTCAATGATGTCCTTTTGTCTTTCAAGCAGGGAGTGGGGAAGAAAGGTATCTAGAGGCATTTTTCCCCCTTATAAATCTGACCCTTTGTACTGGAAAAGTCTTTGCTGGGTTATGGGGTCAGGCAGTTCCATGGCATAAGTGAGCTGCCAACTGTCTTTCAGGTGAATTGTAAATTTCTTATTTCCAACTCCCCTGCTGATGAATCTGTGATTAAGCATCAGAGAGGTAGCCATGTTAGTCTGTATTCACAAAAACAACAAGGAGTCTGGTGGCACCTTAAAGACTAAAGGCTTGTCTACACTGGCAATTAACAGCGCTGCAACTTTCACAGTCAGGGGTGTGAAAAAACACACCCCTGAGCGCAACAAGTTGCAGCACTGTAACACGCCAGTGTAAACAGTCCCCCAATGCCAGGAGCCACGCCCTCGTTGAGGTGGGTTTTTTTTAAGAGCGACCACGCAAGGCACGTTAAAGCGCTACCATGGCAGTGCTTTAGCATTGCCAGTGTAGATTAGCCCTAACAGATTTATTTCGGCATAAGCTTTTGTGGATAAAAACCCCACTTCTTCTGATGCATGAAGTGAAAATTACAGATGCAGGCATAAATATACTGACACATGAAGAGAAGAGAGTTCCCTTAAAAGTGGAGAACCAGTGTTGACAAGGCCAATTCAGGTGGGCCTTAAGTGGGCCTGACTGGTATATAAGGGCAGTCAGCAGCGAACCAGCTGAGCGGCGAACAGCAGAGGCTAACAGAGGGAGTTTGCCTAGGGAGAGCTCACTGAGGCTTTCATCTGCAGGTTCCTCTGAGTAGTTCCTGCAACAGTTGAGGAAGCTCTTAAGAGGACGGTGATATAGAAGGTGAGCGATTAGCTGTTGTATCCTGCACAGGTTGTGCCATGTTTGTCTTTCTTCCACAGGACAGAAGCAACTTTGTCTGTACAAAGTGCAAGCTGGTCTCCATATTGGAAGAGAAGGTTCGACGGCTGGAGAAACGAGTATCTACTCTGCGCTGCATAAGAGAAAATGAAGATTTCCTGGACAGACATCGGGAGATGCTTCTACAGCCACAAAGTTCTGAAGATTCAGAGCAGGCGCAGCAGGGACAGAAGGATTGTGAAGGGGTTTGGCAGCATGTGACCTCCAGAAGGAGAAAGAGGAGTGTCCATGCACCAGCAATGGAGATACAGGTGAGCAATCGTTTCCATGTTCTCTCTACAGGTACTAATGAGGAGAGTGGACTTGATGACCCATCTGAGGGAACTCCACCAATTGGAGACTCCACCAATTGGAAGGCAAAAGATGCACTGTCCCAGGGATGGGGGTTCCATGACCACCACTCCCAAGAGGAGGAGAAGAGTGGTGGTGGTCGGGGACGCCCTCCGCAGGGGGACTGAGTCATCTATCTGCCACCCCGACCGGGAAAACCGAGAGGTCTGCTGCTTGCTAGGATACACGATATGACGGAGAGACTGCCGAGACTCATCAAGCCCTCGGATCACTACCCGTTCTTGCTTCTCCACGTGGGCACCAATGATACTGCCAAGAATGACCTTGAGCGGATCACTGCAGACTACGTGGCTCTGGGAAGATCGATAAAGGAGGGGAAGGAACATTGATGTCTATTTTAGCTACATGTACGTCAACCTTGGCACACTCAGGTCAGTGTACATGAGGCTCTGGTTGTCCTTAAAGTCCTCTGGTGGGGAGATGCAAGAAGCCTGGGAAACAAGCAGGGAGAACTGGAAGTCCTGGCACAGTCCGGGAACTATGATGCGATTGGAAT